CCTCTGGTGCAAATTACTGACCTCTGTCATCATTTTAAGTGGGGGAACTTGCACAATCGGTGGCTGACTAAATACTTTTTTGCCCCACTGTAAAGACAGTTTCAAGGAAGATAAGACACATCATTAGAGTGAAATGTTCATCCAGAAAACCAACCTTTGGATTCATAATGCCTTCCTTTTTAAAACGACTGAAGAAAATGTCCATGGAGTAGACTTCGCTCCATAGATAGCTATAGTACTGACCATCATATCCACCAGCTAAGTGGCTAAAACTGGCTGTCATGTTGGTTCCTGCAGAGAGCAGATCTTTGTTACAAATCACTAATACAAACTCCAAAAAAGAAAAATGATATTGTCTATGCGCTTCATACAAAAAACTGAATACAAACTACTAATGCCCACACTGGACCGTTTATTATAAAATGTAAATCCTCATCACTGATAGAAAGCTTAATGCAATAATTTCTCAAATATATTCTAAATAGCTGAAGCTAAAGCTGACCTGGTGTAGCAGGAATACCCAGGATGTCCTGGCAGTGCTTTGCAAACACCTCAGCAGTGTCTGCACATGGGCTGGTGTGAAGCGACTGGTCCACCTTACTAAGGACTACCTGACGTAGGTTCATAAGCCCTGAAGTGAACACATCAACAGAGGCTCTTCACTTACACATAAATGTTACACAGGCTTTCTTTGTGCAAAGTTTGAGTGTCTGACCAGTGTTAGCAACTCTGGAGGCAATCAGTTTGTCGAGCAGCTCGTCTGGGATGGGGGTACCATCTTTGTAGTGACGGGACATTCTTCTCAGAGGCTCCTTTTCCCAAACCCAGTTCTCAAGCATTTGAGACGGCACCTCCACAAAGTCTGTCTCCACCATTGTTCCGCTGAATTCTGAAAAAGCGGTCTGACGCATACACAGAAAAACTCATTCTTATTCATTAGCACACAGTATACAAATATCACTAACTTCCTGACTGAATATAGCAACTTACATTTGAGCAGATTTCGTGCATGACATGACCAAACTCATGAAAATAGGTCTCCACTTCATGGTGTTGGAGGAGAGAAGGACAATCTTTCCTGGGCTTGGTGAAGTTTGCCACCATGGCTGTAACCGGTAGCCTGCGCTTTCCATCAGGGCCTCCGCAGCCAGGCTGGAGTCCAAAGCAACCTGCGTGGCCATATTTTCCTTCCCTGGTGAAATGTCACAGTCAGGCTGAAGTCTATCACACAGATCAAGAGCTCTGGTCAATGTTAATGAGCTCACACTTCATAAAAACATCAAACACAGGATCTTGTCTTGTCTCTGAAAAAAATGACACATAATCTACCTTGGATGCAGATCCAGGTAGAACTGACCAATCTCCTCCCCTGTTTCAGTGTCCCGGGCTGAGTACAGCTTGACATTTTCATGCCACACGTCAGCCTGTTCCACCTCTGTGAATGTGAGACCCAGCAGCTCCTGGTAGATACGAAACAGCCCTTCTGTCACCACATCAAGAGGGAAATACTCGATCAGTTTGTCCTTGTCCACAGCAAACTTGCGCTGCTCCACTTGATTCATGTAGTAGGGCAAGTCCCAGGCATTAATCTTCTCATCAAACTGGTAGCCCTTCATCAGGCACTCCCTCTTCTTCAGCGCAAGAATGTATTTCTTCTCTTTTATTCCCACGGGCTTCAGCGATTCATGGAACTTGTCTATAAAGGCAGAAAAAGAAAACCTCCTTAGTCGTAATGTGAAGCATGCAATTTCTTTGAACCTTTTGCTGTCTACTTTTCTTATCTTCTTTTTAAAGCCCAAATCAAACTAACTCCCTTTGCACACTCAAAAAAAGAAGATGAAAGTTGAGCATTTTTGTAAAGGAAATCTGTTTTAAATCTGCAGATTCTGAATATTCAAAATTTGTTGTTTGCATTGAAAACTATTTCTGCAGCTCTGGGTTCCTGTGTGATCCTGTGAGTTTTGGTTCCTGTTTTGATTCTATTTATGTCATTTCTTATGTTTCTATTCTTCTTCTTTCTGTAGTATCCCACTGCTTCCTTGTCTTTGTCTCTTTGTTAGTTCCCTTGTCTTTCTAATTTACACTTCCTGTTTTCACTGTGGGAAAAACTTTTCCTTGTGCCTCGTGTACTTTAACCTTTTGCTTTTGTTCCTATTCTATGATTTCTTCTT